AAGGTGTAGTCTGTTTTAGTCTGGATAAATGGCATTATTCCGATCATCTTACAATCTATGTGTTTTAGCACTTTTTGCACCAGCTCAGAGGTTGCTGTGCGAGTTCAACAGGGCTTTAAAAGCATTTTTGGACACTGATGCAGTGAAACACAAATAAACCTCACTGGAGCACTGAACGGAAATCTATTTTTAACTTTGACAAGCATCATCGGGATGGCTTGAAGAATGTGTGACTGCATGAGTGTGTCAGTGATAGAGGAAAGTATACGTGTGTGTGTGTGTGTGTGTGTGTGTTCCTGGTAAAGAAGTCCCCTCAAAGATGGCAGTATCCAAAATTCTTGTCGTTGTGGGGACATTTTCTGGTCCCCATTTGAAAAACAGCTTTTATAAATCACAGTTTTTTTTGTTTTTTTTATAAATGTAAAAATGTAGAAAGTTTTATGTGATGGGTAGGGGATAGAATACAGAAGGAACATTGCAGTACTTTTTGTGTCTCCAGCCTCCTCTTTGCAAATTTCTCATAATCTCATATCCAGTAACCCACGCTCTGTACTTTATTCTTTAAATCAAAGCAGTGCTGTTATATTTGTCTTACACTAAAACTATTAAAAACAGTCTTTCTGTAATTGAAATAAATCTGAAATAATGTTAAAAAAATATAAGTTAAACTTAAACAAGAATTTGAAATATTGCAACTAACTGAAATAATTAAGTTTAACCTGAAGTACTAATAAAAAAGAAATAAAAAAAGAAATACGTTTTAAAAAATCTATTAAAAATGGTAAAAACAACAGAATTAGAATTAAAATGTGAAAAAATATATAAAATATGAAAAGGCTAATACAAAATTTGAATAAATACTATAATAAAATATGAATCATACTAATATACCACTGAATCAAACCCATTTGACTTGAATCTGTGTTGTTGCAGATGCATAAACAGCAACGTCTAGAAATGTGCGTGATGATTACACTGATGAAAAAGTTCACGTAAGGCCTGCTGTCATGGCATGATCAAAGCAAGCAGGCGTGTGAACCCCTGGACCGGGTGGAATAAATCTCAGAGGGAAGCCTAAATAATGCTTAGGTTAGGTTAAGGGGTTAGGGTTAAAGCTATGGTTAGTCTTCAACTTAAACCCCGGCAGGTGTGAGATGCCTTTGAATAAATTGTACAATGCCATGACTTGTTAAACAATAACAAACAATGCCATTCAGTGCAACAATCTACCACGCTGAGGTTTAGAAGTTGAGCAGCTGCCTCTCACACCCTCTTGATATGGATTTATCTCAGGGCCATATCCTGCCTTCATTTTAGATCTGGAATGAGTCCAGGGGCAAATGTTGCACTTCCAAGTGCCCTGACGCCCCTGCTAAGATAGATATGTCTACCCCCCCTTCCCTGGGGGAACGTATCATCACACACCCCTCAGAAGTGCACGTCAGCAGGTCGGAAGCATGTCTCTCATCTGACAGACTGAATAAGCCGAAGCCTGAGCTCCATTCAGAAGACGAACAAAATAGGAGTGAATTGGGACTGAATAAGGTATATTAATGTGATATTCCACCCAAAAATTAAAATTCTGTCATAATTTACTCACCCCCATTTCGTTCTTCTGCAAAACACAAAAGATATTTTGAAGAACGTTGGAAACCAAACAACATTGGAGTCTACTGAAAAAAAGTCCTCAAAATATCAGTGACACTACAATGTTTTATTAGTTAAAGCTGCAGTCTGTAACTTTTTTAGGTTAAAAATTATCCAAAATACATTTTTGAGCAAGTACATAACCAGCCAGTGTTCAAAACTCTCTGCTTGCCTTAGCTCGATTCAAAACGGTAAGCTTGTAATAATGTTTTTAATTCCAGTGTTAATGGTGGATTTCCACGGGAGATTCGAGCATGTCTTTGCGTCATTACGTCACATCTGTCTCGTAAGTCGCGGCTTGAAGGCTATATTGCGTGTGAGGATGTTGGAGATGGAGATTTATAGCATTTTCTCACAGCACTTGATATAATTAAACTTATCAATTTGATGGCAGATCCAGAAAGGTTCAAACGACAATCACCAGTGACAACTGGACATTCACCCGCTGTAAAATGCAAAAGACTTTGGATTTCGGAGTGGATACAGAAAAAAAGAGACTGCAACCGGGCCCATGGTAATGACACATGTATGTGACTGAAATTAGATTACATTCCAGTTTTAAATATGCATCTGATTACAGATACTTGTGTTTGTGTTTCAAAGAGAACCAGTTCTATGGAACATTAATTTGTTGGTGTGACAATTAGAAATTAGACTGCACAGAAATGGAAACTGAACTACAGGTAGACCTAATACACATTAAATGTAGTCACGCAATGCTGATGTTGTTAACATTAACAATTTGAGAACAAAGTATAATTTGCATATGATAGGCGATCGTTAGATTTAAGCAGCGCGATTTGCTGCAATGCTTTTTTCCCCTTATTTGGTCAGAACAAAAGTGGATGTTACTTACTTGTTCAGATGACGTTTTCTGGTGAAAATTCTTATTTTGGTCATTTGATATAATCTGTGATTCCGAATTACAGTATCCACACTGGCGGGGTGACTGACAGCCTCACATTCTCCTCAAAACATTGAATTTATCCGAGCTGTGCCATGCCGAGGCACAACCCACGTAAAGTTGATAATTCCGCAAATAACTGCAATTGCAGATTTCAAACAGAGATGGCGACAAAGAGGAAAAACTACGGAATGCAGCTTTAACATTAGTTAACATCATGAGTTAACATTAATTAATAATGAACTGCACTTCTACAGCATTTATTAATCTTCATTAATGTTAATTTCAACATTTACTGACATTATTAAAATCAAAAGTTGTATTTGTCAACATTAGTTAATGCACTTTGAAGTAAGAATGAACACTTGTATTTTTATTAACTAACATTAACAAAGATTAACAAATACTGTAACAAATGATTAGTGCTCATGGTTAGTTCATCTTAGTTAATACATCAACTAATGTTAACAAATGAAACCTTAGTGTAAACCTTATTTCTTCCACGGAAGAAAGAATGACATACAGTTTTGGCACAACATGAAGGTGAGCAAGTATGACAGAATATATATTTTTTGGGTGGACTATATACCTTTAAGACTGAACTAAATGGAATTAATGAGACTGAATAAGAAAACAGATGAGACTGAATGTTGCTAAATGTGCCAGAATAGTGTCAGAAGACTTAATGTCATTAAAAATGCCAGACTGAGATTGAATTGGTTCGAATAAAAGAGACTGAATACAGAAGAAAGACGTGGAGTTTTGCAATGACAGAAGGTGAGTTCAGGTCTTGTAACAATTCTGAAATGTAAAAAGCCTTCATGTGCTTGTATTACTTGTAATTACAACATGTAAACTGTGACTTGTGCCGCCTGACCACTGTACCACCTGACCACTGCAGATTTTAAGATTGACACTGAACTAGGCAGATTTAATGAGACAGCATATGACAAAATGTGAAAAAAAATAAGACTGAGGATGCCAGAATGAGACAGAAAAAGACCAAATTGGGTGAGAGGTAAGAGCAGGGGTCCGAAGACGGATCTTATTGCATGCTGCTGGCACTCAGGAAATAACTCACGTGTGAGTAGCCTATGTGGGTCACATTATTATTAGTGTGAGCGGTGATCTAAACAAGTGCGATGATGACATTCACACTGCAGACAGAGATGTGTTAAGACTCTCTTCAGCCCCGCAACTGTGCCACTTTTGATTCTCCCTCTTAGCCATTTTAGCCATAGCCTTTTTTGGCTGAAAACCCGATCACCCGGTCCCGTCTAAGAAGTTGCTGCTGCAGATGATGATGCTGTATTTAAAGCACATCTGCATAATTTGGATGTTTTTGGCTGTTCTTTTTAGATGTGCAATCGCCCACAGCATACATGGCTATTTCATCTGAGCTGGTCAAGCTCTCCTCTCTTGGGTGGTTCAGCTTTTTCCTCCTCTCTTGGGTGTTTCAGGCCTAAGCTTTCAATCTTTTCAAATTCCTCCAACCACAAACGACCCTTTTGGACAATGTTCTAAATGATTAAAGACAAATACTGCACTCGGCCCAATTCGAGGTTTCCAGTGTGTTACATAAAGCAACCCTAAATTACACTCTGGGATTGCTGCTGCTTTTTGAGGAACCGCGGTGGAGCGAAGTCTCTTTCGCCTCAACTTCATGCTTTTTACACCCTGCAATCCACCTCCAATGCTTCAGTTCTCAAGCTGCTATTGTCTTTGGCTTTATGCATGCACGAGTCAAGTTGACTTTCCCAAGTTCTGTTGGACAGAGGAATGTATCTGAGGAATTTATAGAAGCTCTCTTCTGGTCAAACAGTTGAGTATGCGCTTGAAGAACGGAGAAGAGCCAGGTGTCGGGTTGCTTTGCGCTTCTCAGACCTTGTTTTGTGGTGTGTAGGAATTTGCTCAACATATTCTGCAGCACCAAAATCTCACATGTCGTAATGACAGCCATGTGCACGAGTGGAAAGAGGTTTCACAAGCCTAACTAGCAAATAACAGCCACATGCTCCATGAATATAGCAATTTCTCAATCTTATGTCATCTATCAGAGGTTGCACTCAAGCAACACACCCTTAAGAAATCACTCTACAGCATCTACATGTAATACAAATAAATGATCAAGCACACACACCTGCAAAAATTCAGTAATATCTATGTTTACCTGCTCGAGTGTCTTTGCAGATTAATGTCCCTGTTTTCTTTGCTGTGTTTGCCGTCCTAGAGGAGCCTTGACCCAAACTGTTAGTCAGCTTCTGGGTGGTGCAGCGTATTGCAGTTTTCGTCTTCTCTCTCTCTCTCTCTCTCTCTCTCTCTCTCTCTCTCTCTCTCTCTCTCTCTCTCTCTCTCTCTCTCTCTCTCTCTCTCTCTCTCTCTCTCTCTCTCTCTCTCTCTCTCTCTCTCTCTCTCTCTCTCTCTCTCTCTCTCTCTCTCTCTCTCTCTCTCTCTCTCTCTCTCTCTCTCTCTCTCTCTCTGCCCTTGAGGGTTTACTTCTCGCAGGCAGGACGTCTGCTGGACAGCTGTTTCAGAATTCCTCCTCTGAAGCGGTTCGGCGTGTCTTTGCTCCTCCTTTCTCCGCCTGCAGCACCTGTCCCTGCCTGTCTGCGGACAGCGCTGTTGAAATCCAATTCTCTCGTCCTCTGTAGTGTCGACCCGCAGTATTTCCTGGAGATACAGACAGACAGCGCTCAGTCATGGGAGGAAGAACATGAAGTGTCTCTACTGTGCTTCCCAGCTGCTGAACGTCAAAGTCCTTCCCTTCCAAAACAGAGTGGAAGAAATACAACTCCCCTCTCTCTCTTTTTCGTCTTCTCGCTGCCCACCTCCCTTCTCGTGCTTTTTCTCACGTTTTTTTTTCTTTCTATCTCAGCTCTCACACTCTTCAGAAGGTGATTCCCTTTCTGTTCTCTCATTCTGCATTTTATTTCTGCTGACTTCAGCATCTCTACCTCATTTGTTTGCTCAGCATTTACCAGACACCATTACAACATTCGAGAGATACAATGCAACCTTGCTGGATGAATGGATGGATGTGTAGATAGATAGATAGATAGATAGATAGATAATAGACAGACAGCCAGATAGATAAATATTGGCTACTTATAGAAAAAAGCTGTTTCTTTTTGCAGCTGCACTGTAAACCTCTATAGAGCTTCTCGTCACTTCATCCTCAACCTAAAATAGGTTTCCTTGGCAACATACAGTACAGTGCTCTGCAGTGATCTCACGCTTGACAGGGATTAGGAGGGGGTGCAGGGAGTGTGTGTGTGTGTGAATTAGCTCTGTTCCAAAAGCTATCTATAGTGAGCTTCCTACCTAGACAGCATTTTAAGGAAGTTCCTAAAAATAAGAGACATCAATATGGGAAACCTATAAGGGAACATCACATGTATGCTTTGAAAACATCCTAAAATGAATTCATTTAAAATAATAATGATATAATAGTAATTCCAAGATGCAGAGAGATTTACATGCAATGTTAAATTTGAGGTAAATGTTAAATGTTTCTCAAAAATACCCCAAAATAACTTAATAAAAAATGAACTAAAACAGTATAATAATATAATCTTACACTTTACCCAATATTTTTTTTTGTGTTATGTATTTTTATGCTCATTAGACTATCAGAGTATCACAACGTTATATATTAGCAACATGCTCACGTCAAACTGAAATTAATTTGTAGACAAGTGTGCTTTGCAGACGAGAGCTATTTGTGTAGTTCACAGAATAGCTGGCTATATAGAGCTTTCCAAATAAGTATCTTATGAGGTTCCAGATCAGTTTAAATGATGCCTTAGATGGAAGCCGGCTATGCAGTAAGCAGCAATGTAGCTCACTACTTTGAAAAAAGTAATATTCTTAAAGTCCCCCTGTAGTCAAGACAACTTCATTTCAATATAGATTGTTTCAAAGCAGCTTTACAGTGATAATAGGAAATTAAAGTAACAGAGATTGTTTTGGCTTTACAGCAGCTCTACAACAAAGTTATTGTCCAGCTAAAGTTAGTTTTGATTGATTCACTTCCGTCGCAACGATCATTAGCTAACTTTGGGCCCGCTAATTCTGCTCATTTGAAAATCCGGCCGCTCATTTGCACAAAACAGTGCCTGGTGGCTTGAGAATGCAAACCATGAAATAGGTTCCAAGGTACAAGCCTTGAAAAATGTATAATACAGAATTTTTTAGTGCTTCCGCGTAGCCACGTGAACCGGAATTATCCCTATCTGTAGTCAATAATTGTATCCCTTAAAACTCATATTTGATCACCAAAATGACATATTTAAAAGTTTTTCCTTTAAAAAAAATTCTTCATGCCTTAAAATAGATTGAACGTAACTCTACACCCTCATTTAGTATACGCGGTTCAATGAATATGCAAATTAGCCCCGCGTCCACTCACTCACACCAGCACAGAGATCCACTCGTTGACGATCACACATTGACGTGATTGGTTACAAGGTAGTTTGTGACGTCAAAAGCGCCAGCGATTTCAAACCGCAATTTTGAGACTGTCTTTCCCTGGTGAAAAAAAAAAGAAGCTAAGTATACTTGCCGCCAGACTAACTATCAGTATACTTCAAGTGTGTTAATGATTAGTTAACTTGAAGTGTGCTATTTTGAAACAATTAATTTGTCCTAAGGATATTTTAGTTGTAATTAAGTTGTAGTAAAGCATAACTTTAAGAGTATTTAGTGTACTTTTGTGTACTAAATTGGACAAACTTCAAGTATACTATTACCTTTGGCTTGTTCCAAATACTACAAATGACATACTTTGTCTTCAAAAACAAATGTACATTATTAGATCTAAATAAAACTTTATAGTTTGCACAAAATACTATTGTATACTATAATGTCTTTTAAAAGTATACTTTCAATGCATTGTTACGATGATCATTTCCAGAACACAGTTAAAATATACTTAACACATATTTTTAATAGAGTGCAAATAAATACACTTTTACAAATTAAAATGAATTTTCACTTCAAGTTTATTTTTAGAAAATATATTTTTAGAAAATATACTAAAGTACAATTATTTTAAAGTCTGTTAAGAGTTGTATTGTGAAAATAGGTAAAAGCATGATGCTAATGTACTTTTAATATATTTAAAGATAGTAAATTTTTTTGCAATGTACTATTGAAAAAGGGAATATATTTCAAATATAATAAAGTATACTTTTTTCACCAGGGTTGGTTCACTGGAGTTTTAAGGAGAAAATACACTTAGAATTTCTGAATTTTAGAATTTCTGTATAATTTTCCATGTAAAATATCTTAAAAAATATTACAGTTGTTGTTTTTTTCATGTGTGTTAAGTATAAACAATTTAAAGTCACTTAAAATCATTTAAATTCCCTTCCGGCAACCTGTCACTCACATGGGATCACATCCACTGACAAAAGACAATGATCCAATTAATTCCCAATGGACAAAATCAAGTCCTGCCCTGCATCTTTTCTTGTTCGAGAAACTTCAATTAAATTCATATGCAGTTTAAATTTATTTAACTTTTTTTTTAAGGTCAAATATCTAACTCATTAAGTCTTTTTTTGAACAGAGCTTTACAGGCACTTAAAACATCAAATGCATGATGTCAAATTTACATTTATATTTGTGGTTTTTATCCAAAGTGTATTCAAGTCAAACATACAGTATGTGTGTTCCCCAGGAACATCTGCTTCTTGATCCAGTGCCATGCTCCTCTGTAACACATCTGACCCTTTATTGACCGCCCACTGAGAAGCTAACCATATTTTCAATAGGGCTGGATCTTACACTTCTGGATGGTCTGTTAAATTTGAACAATCATTCAGTTAAGTAAAACAGCCACTATTGGACAGCAAGCTTTCTGAATGAAGTCTTTCTGTGTTTTGTAGGCATGATGTCACATGTGGAGAGCACATGGTCTCAGGAAGAATACTGAGTATTGTCCTGATGTTTGCCAAGCTGCAATCACCATATAAATGCCATCAATGTGCTTGTAGACTCTACAGTTTAGAGGAATCTGAGAGGAACACCTCCAGTTCTTCCCACCAAAAGAGACTATTTGAGTTCACATAAGTCCAGAATTGGAAAGGCTGTGCTGTTTATGAAAGAATTACCTGATTTTCCAAGTTTCAAATGAGCTTGTTTTGGACCTCATGACAATCAGAGCCTGTGAGGGTTTGTTTGGTTGCTGAAAACTTAGAGAGGTGACTAACTGCTGCCGTTGAAGTCACTTCCTCTAATGTGTTTTGAGGTGTTACACAGACAATGATCCTGTGAGAAAAAGAAGGAAAAGTAACTATTATAGCCAAATCAAACATTGCATGTGATGGATGTATCATGTATGGGAGCACTTACTTTCACACTGTTCACTTTTAATCTGTGTTAGTAATTCACAGTACATTTAACAACATGATTATCCATCACAACTAGGTACAAAGTTGATTGCTAGTCACTTCCAACCATCACAACTTAAATTAAATCATTTAATCACGGCATTAAATCAAAATTGACCCTATTTACTTTTAGTGCACATTAATAGTCTTGTGGTGAACAATTCATTCGTGCAAGTTGATTCACAAAAAAAGTCTTTGTAATCTTTGAAATCTGAATATGCACATCCTCTCTAGGCCTTCCTTCTCTAAAGACGTCACCTTGTTTCACAGGGAAATTACGGAAAATACTGAAATAAAGTCGTTAGCAACTTCCGGTTCACAGTGACTTTAAGTCAAGTCAAGTCATCTTCATTTATATAGCGCTTTTAACAATGTATATTGCTCCAAAGCGGCTTTACAGTGATAATAGGACATTAAAGTAACAGAGATTGTTTTGGCTTTATGGCAGCTCTAAGTTATTTTCCAGCTAAAATTAGTTTTGATTGATTCACTTCCGTCGCAAAGATAATTAGTTATTAACTTAGGGGGTGCTAACACGACACCGTTTTAACAGAAAACTCTTAAGTTCTCTCTACGCAAACTTTAAAAACACGAACCTGTGAGAACGCTGATGGCGTGCACATGCGTATTAAGAGTTAATTCTATAGGTATGCCCGTTTGATCACATGTGCGCAGGCATGTTGTCCTTCCCTAAAAAAAAAAAAACCCAACCCTCAACAAACTATTGTCTCCTTAAAATGTATAATACAGAATTGTATCGCTTCGGCGTAGCCAAGTGAACCGGAATTATCCCAACAATGATTATCTGTACAGAGGTAAAGGTAAGGAGGCCTTCCCTTTAAAGGGGTCATATAATGCCATTTTTGTACAAGTTAATATGAATGTTTAGGGTCTAAATGAAAACTTTGTAATATACTTTTATTAAAAATTCTCATTAGTATTTTAAAAAAACACTAATTTTACCTGGTCAAAAACAGCTCTGTTTTCAGCACGCCGTTTCGGTGCATATCTTATATCTTATATATCTATAAATTACAGGAATGTCTGTCTGTCTGTGTGTGTGTGTGTCTGTCTGTCTGTTAATCGCATATCTCTCGAAACGTTAGTCCGATGGATCTCAAACTTGACAGGTGTCTTGCTACAGGCACGAGTAAGTGCAGTGCCGAGTTTGACGTTGTTTGGATTAGAAATGCAAAAGATAATCGCTAAATATATCGCTAAAAGAAGCACACATTGGTTTTTGCCGCTCTAGCCGCTGGCCACTCTCCCTCTCACACT